TTTCGTACAGCACGTATATTCTTGCATTATATACATAATGACTATTGCTCTCAATTTTATCACAGTGTTTAAACTGTGGTACCCTCCTTCTCGGATGCATGTCAATGTGGATATCATTCATTGAATTTCAAACTGTACCTTAGCCATTTCCAGGGATATGTCGTTTAGTTCTTATTTAATAATTTTCTCTTTAGTCCAAGTACTCAAAGATTACTGTCCCAAATTCATGAATTAACACTTTAATTCATTAGAGTACTATCTTGTTGGAACTTGTAGCATTAAACATAATCTGCCTGCTGATGAGTGCTGCCGCTGCTGCATAACGCTCGACATTGCTCTCACCGAGTTTTCCTTTTTATTACTGAAGTTGTTGAATCCCTGCAGTAATTTATATTTTCTTCATTTGTTAACACCTCCCATATCATATTTATTTCAATGCCAGGCCCACTAAGAGGTTCCTCGTAGTCAAATTTGATCTTCAATTGTCATCTTCGGCCTTTTTAATTACTATTCCTTCCATTGTTCCTCTGTTTAATAATGTTTTATTTTTTATTTTTATACCCATACACCCTTGTGCAAATTAATTGAAGCAAAACGAATAATTCCGTTAATTTGTTTCTTCGTATCTTTTCCAATGAAACATGACCCAGTGCACATATTAGTAATTCGTATGTCCATTCCAGGAAGTCGTTCATTGCAGATTGACCACAGATTCTCGATTGGGTTTAAATCAGAAGAGTTTCCAAGCCAATCTATAGTACTTTGGTTTGCTCACTGGTAAGGCTTGCTAATGTGTTCATGCAGCATATACCATATTCATGCGCTTACTTGGAGTAACGTCCATTGCAAACAGTGGCCGCAGGACAACTAATCGACAGTCGTGACAATAGTGTTTGGGCGAGATAAAAATCTGATACAGTCACGGATGAGGCAATATTTTTCAAGGCCAAACGAATTTTTTAATACACCCCGAAAATAGATTCATATTACTGAACACCTCTGCAAATTACCTAATCTGAGGAAAAAATAGAAGTCGATTACACCATGTCATAACAGGGGCTCTAAAACTGGCCGTATGGTGAAAGAAAGAAAACTAAAGCGGTTATTTCAATTAATTTGCACAAGAGTGTTTTTCTATACTAGATCTACTAAGATGGTCCTCGTAGCCTACCATATGCTTTGATTCTTTCAGGCGTTTGACTCCTCAGTGTTTCTTTTCTTCCACTAATCTTACTTCATTTCACAAGGGTTGATGACTGCCTGATTTCATTGATTCACCCCAAGTCCTGTTAGGTGTTCCGCGCCAATTTTGGAGTTCTTTCCGGCCGCTTTCTTTGGTGTATAACCCGAGGTGATATACCAATTCAGAGAGAAATTATCGAATCGACAGCGTTATTATTTGTTAAATAGTTTTCTTTGCGACAGTGTCATTTTGTTCGAGGAATCAATAATGTTTATTTGAACGGGTCCATTTATTATATACCATGGGAAATTTCCACCGTCAGGACTATTCTGGACATCATTTATATACGAAAAAGTAAAATGTGAATGTCTTGCTAATGATTTTACGATGCCTTAATAAAGTGAATCATGTTAGATTAAGATCTGTTTCCTACTTGTCCTTTATCCCATCAGTTTCGGATTCTTATCTGTTGTGGCCTTGTTTGGGACAGAAATAAAGACACAAGAGACGAATTGAGTTAAACAAATATAATAACTGAAACAGTAATACAAACATACAAACGAGAGTGTTACAGAAAGAATGTTCGGTACGATACTCAGAGCTGACTGCTGGAAATTTCCCTCTCCAAAAAGGCAGTACCTTTGCCTGTTTATAGATTGAAGAGTGCATGCGTGCGTGGGTAAATTACCATAACATTATTCATACTCGACTATATACGATATATCTTTGTGTTCCGTGGCCCTTCAGGATGTAGGGATTATAGCCATCCATATTTTTCTGTCTCTTGTAGCTCTTAATAAATTTTGATATTTTGTTACTTTCCCCAAAACCTACTCTGTCATCCATTTTCTCAAGTTCATCCTGTATGTTACCCGATGTTTTCCTCTGTCCCTTCTTTCTTCTGACTGTCCTGTCAGCATTCATATTTTCCAAGCCATTCCACTTTACATGCCCAGCAAATTTCAACTGCTTCTTCTTGATATGAAGTAAAAGTTTCCTTTTCTCTAAAACTTCGTCGTTGCTCACATGTTCCGTCCATGTTATCCTCAGCATCCTCTGATTCATTTCCAGCTGTGTTTGTCGAACTCTCTGCTTTCGGGCGGAGAGGAATCCAAATGAGGCTATGCCGAAGGGCAGAGTCTCGTCTGGGATGGTAGACAGCTACAGAACCCCGGTTTTTACGGGGGTCGTTTTAACCGGGGAATTTTTTGCCCTGACCTCGCGAGAGGGGTGAGGTAAATAACCCGGATCGCCAATTTGTTTGGAGACGTGAGCTTTGTCGAACTCTCTGCTTTCGGCTTGGTCCTATGCCATCTGAGTCTGTCTGGGGCGATTGGCAAATAGCCTTGCTACGGGCAATTATTCGGAGATACATCCAGCGTGAGGCGGTTGGCGATTATTTCGGTCTCCTTCGAGCCTTAGAGAGGAACCCAGACGAAGCTATGCCAAAGGGCAGAGTCTCGTATGGGGTGGTAGATAGCTACCCAACCCCGGTTTTTACGGGGTCTACGGGCTCGCTTTTAACCCCGCATTAAAAACGGCCTTTTGCCACGTCCTACCTCTCGGGAGTGGTTGGGTAAATAACCTTGCTTCCCCAATTTGTTGGAGATTTGTCTCCATCTGAGCTTGTGGGACTCTGCTTTCAGACAGAGAGGAACCCGGACGAGGCTATGCCGAAGGGCAAAGTCTCGTCTGGGGTGGTAGACAGCTAGACGACCCTGTTTTTACGGGGTCTAAGTTAAATGGCGCATTGAGCCACATCTGACCGCGTGGGCTTGTTGGCAAATATCCTTGCTTTGACAATTAAAGATACGTCTCCAGCTGTGCTGTCCGAACTGAGCAGAGAGGAACCCAGATGAGGCTATGGGGTGGAAGATAGCTACCTAACCTTGTGTATACGGTGAATTATTGCACGAGCCCACGGGCTCGTTTTTACCCCGGATTTAAGAAGGCTTTTTGCTTTGTGCCACATTCTGCCTACATCCTGTGAGCTTAATAACTTTGCTTCGGGAATTACTAGCCTTCCACTTGATTTCCCATCTTTCAATAGTGTATTCTCTTTTGCAATAAACTTCTTTCTCTTCTTTCATCTACGCACATGTTGCTGTTCCTTCATTCGAGTAACACCTTTGTCTGTTTGTAACCTCTTTAAGGATACAACAGTTCTGTAATCTTCTCTTTGTTTCTAACGAAGGTTTCCTGTCTCTTAATTCTCTGCTTAGCTTTTTAAATGGATCTTTGGCCATCAAAATGCGTCTTTGCATCTTAGTGTTTCACTTAAACTTATAATGAAGGAAATAGTACACGTGTAATTAAAAAAAGTAATCAATTGTTTTTTGATTAATTGGTACGTTTTGTACGGCTTATCAACCGTTTTCAGGTTATTAAAAACCAGAAAATATATTTACATTGTAAGTAGTCCTAGGTAAGACATAAACAACATCCAGCAGCAGGAACTCTGATCTAGAAATTGAAGATTTGAAGGTGCGTGGGGGCGACATCTTAATTGCTGTTGTTCTCAACCGATCCTGAAATGGATGGTTGCACTTACTAGACTCCGAGCCAGGAGTAAATTGTGAACTCCAAAAGAAAACTCTCAGAAAATACAAAAATCTTTATAGTAAAAATAACAGCAATATATTTTATATAAAAATTACCAGAAATACATATTTTTAATAAAATGACCAGTACAAATACCAGCAATATATATTTATATAAAATTACCAAAAAAATATATTTTTAATAAAATAACTAGTAAAAATACAAGCAATATATTTTATATAACAATTACCAAAAATACATGTTTTTTAATAAAATGACGAGTAAAAATACCAGCATCAAGTTGCTACTGACCAGGCTCAACGTAGCATAACTTCAGTGAAGATACGGGAAAGTAATTTGATTTAATTCCTAACTAATTATCAAATAAATAAAGTGAAGCATAATTCAATACTCAAAGCGTTCAACAGCATGCCATGGGTCGATTGTAGTTTAATAAAGAAAAAGTCCAATAAAAGTTCAGGGTGAATCGATATTGAATATAAGATTCATCGCACTTTTTGACACTCATGATGGGCTCCAAATTCTATAAATAGAAATAAAAACAGGAGAAAGTAAAACATTTCCCTCCTCACCTGAAACCCTCCCCCAGAAAATTGGAACGACAATTACGTGCTTAGGTAATCATGACTGACGAGACAGTTTTTTGTTTTTCTCACAGTCGGTTGCCATTTCTTTCTACAGTACTCCAGCGAGAACCCGGCCTGTCTTGCTATTTACTCGTAGCCGAGGGAAGAAGAAGAGGAATCTTAACTTTTCCAAGGTAAGTGAATGTAACAGATTCGACTGGAATTGCGAACTCGGCTCTCCGATTCCTCAATCCGAGTCGCTATCCATTACTCCACCTTGCCTTTATATCTGATGGCAAAAATAACAAGAAAAGAGAATTTTGACCAGAAATTAAAGATTTTTTTTAAATGAATTTCTTTGAAAGAATTTCTTAGATTTTCAGCACCTCCTTTTACATAAGTTTGACAAATATTTCCTAATAAAATCGAACTTTGTAATCATTGATTAATCGTTAGGTTAAAATGATCATTTTAGTATTTTATTCTATTTATTTGTGTAATTTTTTGAGTTGTTCTCTGCTGAGAAAGACCACAGACTTTGTTTAAAATGGAAACAAAAAAGAAAGACGGGAAGAGACAACGGGAACTCGGTGAAGGCGAATCTCTGGTGGGAGATTTACGCCAAGCTTGTCCGTTTAATCACGTGACTAGTACTTTGTGCCAAGTGGACAGCAAGACCAAATCCGTCAATGTCCCAGCTTGCAAATCGGCATTCATTAACACAGCCGTCTTTCGACTTGAAATCGTTCTTTCTCTCCTGTTACCATGCCGGGTATGGTGTGCAGGGAGGCCACTGTATCACCGGGTACACCCCCCCACACTTTTTCACTCACTCCTCTTGTGTCTATCTCATACGCTTTCTCCCTCACTCACTCTCTCTCACTTTCCCTCTTTCTCACACGCTTTCACTCTCTATCACGTTTTCACTCTCTCTTTTTTTTCCCTCTCTCTCCCCTGTTCCCATGGCGGGGTCGGAGTGTTCGGAGGTCAGTGCATCACTGGGTTCAAGCTCACTCTGTCTGTCGCTCTCCCCCTTCGCCTTCCCTGTCTCTCTCATACGTTTTCTCTCTCCCTCTCGCATGTTGTCACTCTCTCTCACACTTTCTCTCGCTATCACGCTTTCACTCTCTCATTTTCTCTCTCTCAAGCTTTCTCTCTCTCAAGCTTTCACTCTCTCATTTTCTCTCTCTCAAGCTCGCCCCCTTCGCCTTCCCTCTCTCTCTCTCTCTCTCTCTCATACGCTTTCTCTCTCCGTCTCCCATGTTGTCACTCTCTCTCACACTTTCTCTCACTGTCACGCTTTCACTCTCTCATTTTCTCTCTCTCAAGCTTTCTCTCTCTCAAGCTTTCTCTCTCTCAAGCTTTCTCTCTCTCAAGCTTTCACTCTCTCATTTTCTCTCTCTCAAGCTCGCCCCCTTCGCCTTCCCTCTCTCTCTCTCTCATACGCTTTCTCTCTCCCTCTCGCATTTTGTCACTCTCTCTCACACTTTCTCTCGCTGTCACGCTTTCACTCTCTCATTTTCTCTCAAGCTTTCACTCTCTCATTTTCTCTCTCTCAAACTCTCCCCCCTCTCTCTCTCACGCTTTCTCTCTCTTTCGCTTTCCCTGTTTCTCCCTCTTGCTCTCTCTTCCTCTCGCTTTCCCCCTTTTTCCTCACGCTTTTTCCCCCTCTCTCGCTTTTTATCTCTTGCTTTCTCTCTCTGAAGGCAAAAGTTGAATGGTTGTTTTGGGGAAACGAAGATCAGGTCGAGGGGAGACGAAGACGACTTACCTTATCGGCGTTGCCAAATTAATATGATTACAGACCGTTCTTCTGTACCCTGCTCCCGACTTACAAAATACCGAGAAGACACCTGCTGCCTTACCTGTATAAATATCTCGACTTGGTTAATGTGTACCTGACGATACCAAACGCACAACGATAAAAGAAGGCGGCATATGTAGAAATACTTATCCGCTGGCCACTGTAACGATTATTCGACGACACACGAATCTGAAGAACCGGACACACAGACTTAATCACGTCTCACTTAGCATAGCAAAGTCAGGCTTGCTTTTATAAATACACTGAATTAGAAAAACACGTCGGAGGACTAATTTTAGTAAACCGCTAAACAAAATATCAATTCGAAAAAGTTATCCTAGAAGGGAAATATTTTTTTAGCTCTTATTGTGCGTTGTGAGGCAATGAAAAATCGAGAAGTTCGAATACAAGTCGAGGTCGTTAGATTCATTTACAAATACCTTTGGGAAAAGTATGGATCCATCTCTTCCCTCTCCAGCTATGGGTTAAATACCAGGGAATCCCGGGTTCTATAGCCCTGGTTCGAAACTAGACTAAACAGAAAGAAACGGCAACCTACTGCGGGAACTCCTGCCTTGTACCTAGATTGGCGATGGCTTGAAAATATCAGGTGCTGTAAGCTTGAATGTGTGTGTATGGGTGTGGTATAATGAGTAATGACTCGGAATTATCGTAGGAGAGCCGAGTTCCAATTCCAGTACGTTATCTCACTTACGTGCAATTAAAGTTGGGAAAGTTATAAATCCACCTCTTCCCAAAGTTAAGGAAATCTGTATTATATATATATATATTAAGGAAAATATATATATATATATATATATATATATATATATATATATATATATATATTAAGCGTTTCACCCCAAGCAAGGCGAGAAGCCACTAGGACGCAAGGGGTTACAGAAGATTTGGGAATAGGGAAGTGAGTTCCACAGGCGAGAGGTGCGAGACATGAAGCTATTAGAGTAGAAGAGACGGCTATATTTAGGAGTTTCGATAGTGAAGGGATGAGAGCGGGATGCCAGCCTCGTAGGTAGCTTGAACTCATGAATTCTTGGAACCAGCGAAAACAGCTACTCGGAGCAATTACCATGAAAGTATTTGTAAAAAAGACAGAGAGAGGCGACGGCGCGTCTGTGAGAGAGCGTCTGTAGGCGAGATGCCAGATCAGGGCCATATTGCTTATCCACCTCTGAAGCCTATCAAGAACCACGAGGCAAACAGAAGGGGCTCCAGACCATATATGGCAGCAATACTCCATGCAAGGGCGAATTGTTGATTTGTAAATCTGAAGGATCGATTCCGGGGAGAAAAATTTCCTGGCGCGGCACAGGGAGCCAACTTTCCTTGCGGTGGACGAAGCAATTGACTCAATGTATTTGTTCCATCTCAGGTCAGCAGTCAACGTGAGACCGAGCAGCCGTAGAGAGGTGCTCTCGAGAAGTTGAGCGTCAGACATTCTAATGGAGGGCAGGGAATGATCTCTGTGGTGCCTTGGTTGGAAACCAGCATGCCACAGAAGGCAACCTCTGCTTCGGTAAAACCTTCTAGCAAAGTCAGTCATGGATCTAAACAGACATGATCACCCAATCGTGTATTACGTGTGTCAGTTAACTAACTTACAATTATTGAGTTCGATCATATTAAACAACGAAAGGGCTTAAATCTATTCCACCATAAATGCGTGAACTCAAAGTATTTTTATGCTATTGCTAACCCAATACAAGACCCAATGGATATTTCTACGTAGATGGTTAGTAAATGGTGTTGTTTTATGGACGTAATAACTGTAGATTTTCATATGAAGAATAGATTACGGTTGACCATAGACTTGTGATTGTAGCGGTAAGGAGTACAAACATTCGGGAATATGTTCCACGAAGCAGCCGCATTTGGGGAGTTGTCTCTGTGGAATTTCTTCCTTACCAATAGAATACAATGGGATTAAGGATGGTAGATGGTGTGAAGGTCTGAACTGGTTGGTGTAGGATATGCAGCTCGTCAAATAGCGACAGAGAATCCATATGCTTGTGACGTACCCGCGTCGACAAAATCGTGTAAACGCTGTGAAACTCTGTCAAACCTGAATGGAAATATATGGGCAGTCCCGGCCTAAATATGGCAGCTACGATTTTTGGTATGATCTGGCTCTAGGTAAGAGATTTTCGGGTGCGGAATAATGAACCGAACATTTACCCAGGAATTCTTAACGATGAACCGTATATGTATATATATATATGTAAGCAAATATATGGATATAGATCCGACAGTATGAAGAAAAATATACGGAAAAACAAACAAAAATCCTAGTATAACATGGAAGACTTCAAGCTTATACGAAAAATATAAGTTTTTTGTTTCTCCGTATATTTTCTTCATATACATATATATATATATATATATATATATATATATATATATATATATATATATATATATAGGACTGGAGTATACAGAATAAATTCCAGTAACCGACAAATACTATTTTTAAAAGAGTACTCAATACAAAGTACAGCAAATATAATTATTTATTCGAAAATTATAACATAAATATGTTATAAAATCACTACAAAAATAGCCATTTTGTTTCAACACTTCTAGTGTCTTATCAAGTGATGGTGTTGAATGTAGAATAAAGGGTTTTAAGTGTTGAAACAAAATGGCTATTTTTGTGGTGATTTTATAACATATTTATATTATAATTTTCGATCAAATAATTATGTATATATATATAAATATATAATCGTTAAAAATTTCTGGGAAAGTAGTAGGTTCCTTATTTCGCTCCCGAAAACCCACACATCTAATTCCCAGCAACCAATAAAACTGTCAAAACGACCAAAAGAATTCTGAGTTGCATGAATCTCCCCAGACAAGATCTTAAAAACAGCTTAAAAGAGGCAGTATGACCAACACAAGGACTGGCCAAAATTAACGATAAAAACAAATGAAAACTACAGATAAAGTTCATTTTCTTCAGAAAGTTATTCATTCCTCTAGTTCACTGATACTAACAAGCAGGATTTTATTCTCCTGATGATGGACATGATGGCCGAAACTAGTCGAGGAACCTAATTAGAAATAATAAAACAAAAAATATTAATATACAACCGAGTGTGTCTAAAAATTTTAACTTTTTAATTTTTCAATATTTTTATTGTTAAAAACACACGCACGCACACACAAACAGACACACCCACACATATATATGTACATGTATATGTACGGTATATAATCCAAGTGGATCCTAGTAATATAATTATTAAAACTGATCCACAAAAAAGCTCAATGTATTCATTATTCCAGGGAAAATAATTAATAAAATACGAAATCAAAAATCTGCCTCATTCTGCTCATACCTATTTGTTTATATGTACGTATGTATGTATATATATATATATATATATATATATATATATATATATATATATATATGAAGAAAATATATGGAAAAACAAAAATCCGAATATGCAAATATGCTGTTTTAATGTTATTAAATCATAATTAATTAATTAATTCTGTTTTGATTACTTTTGCTCTTATGTCTATCGTCTTTTCATGTTTATTTGAATATCGTCTAATGTTAATTATGTTTTAATAATTATGTCCTGAAGAAGGTCTACTACACCGAAACGTCTGACGTTGACATTGAAATAACATTAAAACAGCATATTTGCATATTCGGATTTTTGTTTTTCCATATATTTTTCTTCATACTGTCGGATCTATATCCAAATGTTTGCTTACATATATATATATATATATATATATATATATATATATATATATATATATAAAATAATATATATAAAAGAAATATGTTAGTGGTTCCAACGAGAGAAAAGTATGTATATTAAAAGAAGAGAAGAGAGGTGCCGCAAACGTTTTTGGTTGTAATGTGGATTTATTTATGAAAAGAAAGAAATTCGGATTACCAACACACAAACAGAGAATGTCTCATATCGAGAATATTTAACATTGAACATAAGGAAAAATTAATTATTTCTGATAATATGTGGAAATCTCCGCTTTTACCTGAAGACGGTCGCGAGACCAGAAACACGTGTAGTAAAATTATGTAAAACCAAGCATAATATTTTTTTTTCTAAATAAATCCACATTACAACCCAAAACGTTTGCGGCACCTCTCTTCTCTTCTTTTTAACATATATATATATATATATATATATATATATATATATAGTAAAGGTAATAAATCCGTTGGTATACAATCCAAGTGGACCTAGTAATATAAAATAATATAACTGATCGAAAAAATAGCTGAATGTATTTATTGTAACAGACCATATAAATAGTATTACACAAGAAAATATAAAATTACCTCATAGTGGAGGGGGAGTGATATATCTATTTCAACCGACGAAAACTACGTCAGTCTTATTAACTCTTCATTTTTCATATAACCGCAATTTAATGTCATGAAGTTAATATCCGGGTTTAATTTTATAAAACCTCTTTCCTTTAAGGCTAATATGTTCCATCCTTCCCTAATCAACGTCTCGGTAATTTCGTCTGAGTGAAACGGCGAAATGGCTAAATTCTGTATCAATTTTTCGACAGCTGTCAAAGTTAAATTTCTAATTCCGACATGAACTCAGTCTATACACCGACTTATCAGTGACGTATTTTTCGGCGGTTGAAATAGATCTCCCGCTACATATCAGAGTGTCCATAAAATGTGTGTGCACGTTAAAAAATTTATAACTTTATTTATATTTGCGATAGAAATAATCTATAAAAAATGTTATAAAGTTTAATGTACCTAGTTTTAAGTATAGCTAAAATAACTAATGTGATTTCAGGCATTACTGTAAATCCGTTTGCAAATATTTTCGTGAACTTCAAAATCGTATTACCCTTTGTATTGCTAATGATGGAGGACATGTGGAAACTTAAATAAAATTTCAATAAAACATTAAAAAAAATATCGATTTACTTCTTTTCTAATACTTTTTACAAATTATTTCT